ATTAATAATAATTTAAAATCAAACTGGCAGAAGAAGAAATGGAGTGTGATATTACAACTAGCATTCCAGAGCATCGGAGTAGTGTACGGAGACATCGGAACCTCGCCGCTCTACGTGTACGCCGGCATCTTTCCGGAGGGAATCAAGCACGAGGACGACGTTTTAGGAGCGATGTCTTTGATCTTCTACACCTTAACTCTCATTCCAGTCATCAAATACGTGTTCATCGTCCTCAGAGCCAACGACAACGGCGATGGTAAAAGCCTCATTCGATTCTTCTGTGATTCGGAATCGGAATCGGATTTTGATTTTGATTTTGATTTTGATTTTGATTTTCCAGGCGGAACCTTCGCACTGTACTCTCTGATTTGCCGGTACGCGAAAGTAGGGCTGATTCCAAACGCAGAGATGGAGGATGGAGAGGTGTCAAATTACCAATTGAATTTGCCGAATCGGAGACAGAAGAGAGCTTCGAGGATTCAGTCGGCGCTGGAGAACAGCCATTTTGCGAAGGTCGCTCTTCTCTTTGCGACGATGCTCGGAACCGCCATGGTTATTGGCGACGGCGTCCTCACCCCTTGTATCTCAGGTCCCCCTTTCCCCCCTTTTTTTTTTCCTCTAAATTACAAATTAATTGCAATATTATTTTTAACATTTTATGAATTAAATAGATTAATTTTTAATTGTTTTTTACTTCAGTTTTATCTGCTGTGGGAGGGATCACGGAGGCAACCTCTGCAATGACAGAAGGTAAATTCACACCCTTTATTTATTTATTTACTGTATTTTTTTTATAATTATCACACAGACCGAACTTTTTATTAGGGAAATTATTTTTCAATTTCCAACGGATTTATAAACCACAAAATTAATATTTGAAAAGAGGGATATTTTATCTATTTATTTTATAAACCGTAAATCAAAATAATTCAATTGTATAAAATTAATGTTTTTTTTTTAAATAGAAATAATTAAAACAGATAGAGAGTGACACATATTCCATAATTTTATTTAAAATATTTTTTAGAAAAGTGTAAAAGGAAAAAGATTCCCTTTCATTTTAATACAATTCATTATTTATACCAATTATGTCTGATTTTACAACAAATTAGTTTTTTATTTCTTATTTTTTCAAAAGATAAATTTGGTATTTCATAATTCCCTAGGCTTAATTTTTCATCCTCTTAAAATTGTATAACGGTTATTTCAATTTCCACTTAATTGATTCATCCCGGACAAAACTATTTTGAGTCATAAACTAAAAATGATATTGCAGGAAGGATTGTTTGGACATCAGTAGTCATCTTGGTGTTTTTGTTCATGGCTCAAAGATTAGGAACCGACAAAGTTGGCTACACTTTTGCCCCAATCATCTTCATTTGGTTTGCTTTCATCGCTGCAATCGGTGTTTACAACTTCTTCAAATACGACCCCACTGTCATCAAGGCCTTAAATCCAGCCTACATTATTTATTATTTCCAAAGGAACAAAAAGGATGCTTGGATTTCTCTCGGCGGTGTTGTTCTTTGTATTACAGGTTCTTAAGTCTTCTTATATTCTTTACTCTTACCCTTTTTCATCAACAACAGACCCCCACAATCTTTATAACTACACGACGAATACAGGGGCAGAAGCATTGTTCGCCGACGTCGGCCATTTCAGCGTCCGATCGATCCAGCTGAGCATGTCCCTAGTGACCTACCCAGCTCTGATCTGCGTTTATGCAGGCCAATCCTCGTTTCTTCGCAAGAATAGTGATCTAGTTTCACACACATTCTACAAGTCCACTCCTGGTATAAACATTCACAAAGTTCATACGATTTCATCCCAATAATTAACTCAACTATATCATCCTATGTGTATGATTGGCAGGAAGTTTGTATTGGCCAATGTTTGTGGTGGCAGTTTTAGCATCAATCATAGCAAGCCAAGCCATGATCTCAGGAACTTTCTCTATAATTCAGCAGTCACTTTCACTTGGATGCTTCCCAAGAGTTAAAGTGGTTCATACTTCTGCTAAGCATGAAGGCCAAGTTTATGTTCCTGAGATCAATTACCTTCTCATGTTGGCTTGTGTTTGTGTTACTTTGGTCTTCAAGAACACTACAAATATTGGCAATGCATACGGTAACTTACTCGTTCAAACTAACTCAACTCAACTCGACCAGCACTGACTAAATAAAGAATTTTGCTCTAAACAGGAATAGCAGTGGTGTTTGTGATGACACTCACGTCCTCCTTCCTAGTATTGATAATGGTAATGATATGGAAAACTCACATCCTGTTGGTAATCACTTACGTTGTCATAATTGGGAGCGTGGAATTGGTGTATCTGAGTTCAGTTCTTTACAAGTTCGACCAAGGAGGGTATCTCCCTCTAGCTTTTGCAGCTGTTATGATGGCAATAATGTATGTGTGGAATAGTGTGTTTAGAAAAAAGTACTTTTATGAGCTCAACCACAAAATCTCTCCAGAAATGTTCAATGAAATGGTGAGTACCACTAGCTTTAGAAGACTTCCTGGCATGGCATTTTTCTACACTGAGCTCGTTCAAGGCATCCCTCCCATCATCAAGCATTACGTCGAGCACGTGCCCGCTTTGCAGTCTGTGCTCGTCTTTGTCACCATTAAATCGCTTCCTATCAGCAAGGTTCGGAGTTGATATTAGATATAATAGATATAGATATAGATATATGCTATATATGACAATGTTTGAGGTTTTATGTATGTTGTTAACCAGGTTCCAGCCGACGAACGTTTCCTCTTCCGACGAGTAGAGGCAAAGGAGATCGACGTGTTTCGCTGTGTAGTTCGATATGGATACACAGAAGTGCGTGCAGAACATGAACTGTTCGAAAAAATTTTACTCGAAAGATTGGAAAAGTTCGAAAGTGATCGACGGGCATTGTGTATCAGTGATGGGAGAGTTGAAGAAGATGAAGAGGATGGGAATGGATTTGGAGGCGCTGCAGAAGCATGGAAGCAAGGAGTTGTTCATTTCATCGGGGAAACAGAGGTGGTTGCTAAACCGGGTGCTGGGTTTGGAGATAGGATTATGATAAACTATGCATATAACTTCTTGAAGAGAAATTTGAGGCAAACCGATCAAGTCTTTGAAATTCCTCACAAACGTATGCTCAAAGTGGGAATGACTTATGAACTTTAGACGACAACATCATAATTTGATGTTTTTGTCTAAGGGCAGCTATATGTATAGAAGAGACGCTCTCTATGTTCTTCAATGTTTTAATTAATGACAGATAAAAACAATCATTTTTAGCCTTAGGGTAACACAAAACTGAGCCCAATGATTATATTTGTCTCGTTGCTTTCCCTTCTTATTTACTTCAAGTTTTTTATTTCCTTAATTATTATTGAAAGAGTGTTTGATTATTATTGAGATTTCTAGTAAATAACAGTTACTAAAATGCCAAATGTGTTGGCTCTAAGAGGGGTGCTCAGGGAGTGGGATGAGACATTTTTAAATCCAGTTCACTCTACTAAATCCAAATAAATTTAAAACAAACCCATAATTAGATTAAGTTTTTTTAGGATTATCATAATTTTTTAATATCGAGTTAGCTGACATTTAATTTAAAAATGAGATTAAAATAAAGGGAAAAAAAAGTTGGTACAAGTGCATGCTACGAAAAAGAATGAAATAAATGTTGCATAACGTGATGTCATGCTTATTCTAACACTTCTCTGTATTTTGCTTTTTATGGAAGTGATGTCTTAGCTTATACCAACACTTGTCTGTATTTTGCTTCTTCTGGAAGTGATGGGTTGTAGCTTATGTTCCTATCGGATATGTGTTCTTGGGGTTAGCTTATATGAATGCTTACGTTTTGCAAATTACCGTCCTTTTCTATTCATGAACACTGGAAAACAACGGTTCCAAGTGAAGAAATTCTCTTACATCACAAGTGGTAGTTAATTACTCTAATCAAAGTGTTTGCAAGTGTATCTCACACACTCAACCTATAAATTCTCTCCTACAAAGTTCCTACCAAACAAATTTTTATTTAGGCATAACTATATTAATGTTGTACATGAACCCACCTAAATGGTTTTATAATTGAGTTCAAGAGAGGTTCTTGGCATAAAGTTCATATATTCCAGATAAAATTCTACGATACCCGATACTCACATCACTATGTTAAGAACAGTAAGGATTCACTTCTTTTTCTTAAAAACCAACCACGTGGGTTTACAATGACGATGAGAGTTATTATTATGACTTACCAAATACACCATTGCCAAAGACATTGCCTTTAGCTGCTAGGTTTTGAGTTCACAAAATGAGAAAAACTGTTGATTTTGTTGAAACGCCTCCATTGTCTTCTCCTCCAAGCACACTATCGCTTCGATCCCATCTTTTGTATCAATGAATATAATTGAATCCTTGGCAAGCAACTCAGGGACAGTGACCCATATGGGTTCCCCCATCCAAAATCTACCTCGTAAAATGAAAATCTACACCGGCTACTACATGAAATCACTGCCACATCCCTTTATTTTTCAGTCTCTCCATTGATTGTTTTGCAGCCAACCCCATCCTTCATCCCTCTAATCTCTTGGGAACTTCTCACAGAACTCCTTTAAGTTTCTCTTTATGCCTCCCACTATGTCCCATACCTCCTTCTCCCTCTTCTCCCACGTGGTCTCTGATGCTATGCATTGTGAGATTATGTTGCCTATTAATCTCGGCAATGGCGGATCACAACGCGCAGTTGACTTGTCCCGCCCAGACAGCCTACATTGCACAATAAATTAACACCAATTAGGAAAAAGCCATACTTCCAATATGTCCATAAATGCCACAACAACAATGATCGTCGGAGCAGAAGTGAAAATAAAATGGATCGTATTCACACACCCAGAAACAGAAATTAAATAAAGACACACAAAAATTTAGGTGGTTGGTTCGAAGAAGAGACTCGAAATTCTTCTACATCCGGGAATGGTAACCAATCACTGTATCCAACACTGTTGTTGCAGATGAAGGAAAATTACATGTGCCTGAAGAACATAGCAACCACCAGAAAGACTTTCAAACCTATTGTTGCTTGGATGGGTTACTCTGATGTTACAATCCCCACACTATTTATTATTATTATTATTTATATATATATATATATATATATATATATATATATATATATTTTAATTTAAAATTTTCAACAGGGCATGTGGTCTTTCACAAAGGATGCTTACAAGCTTAAGGTAACTTTCATTCGTTTCGATTTAGTCCCTTATGTTTGGTTCATCATAAGCTTATATTGTCAGTAAGGGATTGAACTGAAAAATGTAAAATCACGAGAATCTAAATTGAAAAAAAAAAGAAAAAAATACCCGAAGAGACTAAAATATATGTTTAGTCTATGATATGTAAAGTTGAGAAGTAAACTAACCCACGGTGATGGGATTGGAAAAGTACATAGAAGATGCGGGAGGAGAGAATGTGGATGACTCCATCAACAAAATCACGTACAACGTCTCACATCCTGACGGTAGAGGTGATCATCGATGAATCGTTTACATTAGACCCAACAGTGTACAACATGTCCACATTTCTCGAATTGATCAACATTCAAGACTAATCTTGCCTCTCGTTTCTTTCGACTCAGAGCATCTGGCGATTCGATAAACGATTTCTAGACTCCACTACTCTCAGTAACCCTAAAATGTAGAAAAGGTTTAAATTTTTGAATTTATATATAAATAATTTATGGTTCGATGATTAGATTGGTTGGACGGAGCAATGTCACAGCCCCCGTTCGTATTGGCAGNTATCATACACTTTTTTTTTTTTTTTTTTTTTTTTTTTTTTTTTTTTTTTTTTTTTTTTTTTTTTGTATAATGAAAAGTCGAAGAATAGTGTATTTTTCTTCCATAATCCTTTTATATATATATATATATTAATGTAACGTTACTAATGTTATTTTAGCCAACCATTGCTAAAAAAATGACGTTTCTTCAGCATCGTCAAAAGTTTACGGTTAAAAGTCATCTCTATCTTTTAAAATAAGAACACTTACTCCTTTAGTCGCTATCTCAATTAATTGGAACTCTATATAAATTAAAGGTTTAAGCTTAAAATGGTAAGTTGGGTCACAAGAAATATATAAATCAAGGAAATGACATGGTTGATCTAAATGGAGTATTGACTATACTCAAAAAAGAAGGTACAAAAATAAATTTTCTAATACAAATTTAAATAAATATTCGAGTTTTACCAATTTAAAGATTTATTTGGTAATAAATTGGTCCACAAGAAATATAAAAAAAGAAAAATACAAATTAAGGAAATGAAGTTGTTAATGGAGAGTATAGATTATACTCTAAAGAAATGCTCAAAAATAAATTTTCTAATAAAAATTAAGACAAGATTGATCTAAATAGTGTATATATAAATGTGTCGTTAGTAATGTTATTTTAGCTACCAATTGTTGAAAAACGACGTTTCTCCAGCATCATTGAAAGGCATCGTTAAAGATCATCTCTATCTTTTAAAATAAGAGCAATTACTCGTACAATCGCTTTGTCAACTAGTTCGAATGTGTCGTTAGCAATGTTATTTTAGCGGTAATTGTTGAAAACGCATTTCTTTATCATCATAAAAAGTTTATGATGGTTATGTGAGATAAGTCGAACTCAAAATTAAAGGTTTAATATTAAAATGGTAATTTAGGTCAGAAGAAATATGTAATAAGAAAATACAAATTTGAATAAATATTCCAGTTTTACAATAATAATGAAAACGCGTTTGGAAGACTTATTTGGTAAATCAGCGACCAATCATTTCCTTTCCGTGACAACCCCACATAGGTCGCTCGTGAGTGTTGGTCAAACATGACTACCCACGTGTAAAAAAAAATCGGATTTGACTTTCTTTTTCGAAAATCAACTGCTTTTGACTTCTTGAGTATTTTTTTAATGAAAAATATATGGGTTAAGAACATATATATGGTATGTCTGTGTCAATTTTGTCGGTAATAATTATGATTCTTATCTGAAAATTTTAAATTTATATTTATCTTTTTTTTTTTTGTAAAACTAATTTATTGTATGTTAATTTAAATTTTATGTTTAATGTAATTTTTAAACTTACTTTCTATTGTGTATATAATAGATACACCATAGAAATGGTACATTTTAAAAAAATTTAAAAATTTAACAATTTGTTATTTAATTAGAAAAAAATAATAAATATCAATTTATACATAAAAAACGTTATAATTTTTCAATTAAAACTTCAAATTTAATAATTGAATCGATCTAAATTTTTAAGTTTTATAAATTAATCATTGCTATTTGTCCATCAAAACCATTTTAAAAAATTCCTCAAATATGACAAGAAAAATCATCACCCAATTATGAAAAATAAACGATGATAAAAGAGATGAAACACTACTAAAATTTAATAAAAACTTCTATTAATTGTTTAATTCTCAAATTGCTCTGTAATTTACATTATTTCTTACAGTAAAAAAGTAATATATATATTCTAAAGTTATGCAGATTTGAAAATAAAATTGTTTATTTTAATTTATTTAATTACTGTTATTATAGTAACATATTTGTCATCTTCATATATCATAAATTGATTTTAATTTATACGTTATTATAGAAACATTTCTGTGTTTCCTTCTATATTTTGTTAATTTGTGGTTAAATTGGTTGGTTCTTTTCATAATTTGTTTTTTATTTTTATTTTGTTACTTTGTTTAACAAACCAAGAGAATTGCCCCATCCCAAAAAAAATAATTTTAAGTTTATAATATTTAATTTAAGTAAGTAAAAAAATAAAATAATAAGTTTAAGTTTAAGGATTAAATTGAACAGAATATATTGGGCTGTTTTAATGAATGCCAGAGAGGGGAGGGTCAGTTTTATTTTTTGTAATCAGCTTCCCTAATTTTTCATATAAATACTGTTCTTCTTTACATAATCATCACACCCGCAATTAATTCCCATCTTCCATTTTCTCTCTGCTTTTTTAATTTCTCCACCAATGGCTGACCGGATCTCCGGTGGTGCAGAGGAAGTTTCCGCCGTCGTCCCCATAGAAGAGGAACAAGTTGCGCCCTCTGGTTCCGATGTTCCCACTCCTCAAGAGAGGAAAATGTCGTGGCAGAATCTCCGGCGACACGACTCCTTGTATTTAGAGTCTCGTAAACTCCATGGTCGCGATCACTCCGAGGACGACGTCGGTCTCTTCTTTTCTCTCCTCTTTTCTTCTTTTTCAGTTCCATATATTAATAATAATTTAAAATCAAACTGCCAGAAGAAGAAATGGAGTGTGATATTACAACTAGCATTCCAGAGCATCGGAGTAGTGTACGGAGACATCGGAACCTCGCCGCTCTACGTGTACGCCGGCATCTTTCCGGAGGGAATCAAGCACGAGGACGACGTTTTAGGAGCGATGTCTTTGATCTTCTACACCTTAACTCTCCTTCCAGTCATCAAATACGTGTTCATCGTCCTCAGAGCCAACGACAACGGCGATGGTAAAAGCCTCATTCGATTCTTCTGTGATTCGGAATCGGAATCGGATTTTGATTTTGATTTCGATTTTGACTTTCCAGGCGGAACCTTCGCATTGTACTCTCTGATTTGCCGGTACGCGAAAGTAGGGCTGATTCCAAACGCCGAGATGGAGGATGGAGAGGTGTCCAATTACCAATTGAATTTGCCGAATCGGAGACAGAAGAGAGCTTCGAGGATTCAGTCGGCGCTGGAGAACAGCCATTTTGCGAAGGTCTCTCTTCTCTTTGCGACGATGCTCGGAACCGCCATGGTTATTGGCGACGGCGTCCTCACCCCTTGTATCTCAGGTCCCCCTTTCCCCCCTTTTTTTTCCCTCTAAATTACAAATTAATTGCAATATTATTTTTAGCATTTTATGAATTAAATAGATTAATTTTTAATTGTTTTTTACTTCAGTTTTATCTGCTGTGGGAGGGATCACGGAGGCAACCTCTGCCATGACAGAAGGTAAATTCACACCCTTTATTTATTTATTTATTTATTTACTTACTGTTATCTTTTTATAATTACTCCAACTATTTATTAGGGAAATTATTTTTCAATTTCCAACGGAATTATAAACCACAAAATTAATATTGGAAAAGAGGGACATTTTATTTATTTATTTTATAAACTATAAATCAAAATAATTCAATTGTATAAAATTAATGTTTTTTTTAAATAGAAATAATTAAAACAGTGACACGTATTCCATAATTTTATTTAAAATATTTTTTAGAAAAGTGTAAAACGAAAAAGATTCCCTTTCATTTTAATACAATTCATTATTTATACCAATTATGTCTGATTTTACAACAAATTAGTTTTTTATTTCTTATTTTTTCAAAAGATAAATTTGGTATTTCATAATTTCCGAGCCTTAATTTTTCATCCTCTTACAAATTGTATAATGGTTATTTTTCAACTGGACAAAACTATTTAAAGTCATATACCAAAAATAATATTGCAGGAAGGATTGTTTGGGCATCAGTAGTCATCTTGGTGTTTCTGTTCATGGTTCAAAGATTAGGAACCGACAAAGTCGGTTACACTTTTGCCCCAATCATCTTCATTTGGTTTGCTTTCATCGCTACAATTGGTGTTTACAACTTCTTCAAATACGACCCCACTGTGATCAAGGCCTTAAATCCAGCCTACATTATTTATTATTTCCAAAGGAACAAAAAGAACGCTTGGATTTCTCTCGGCGGCGTTGTTCTTTGCATTACAGGTTCTTAAATCTTCTTATATTCTTTACCCTTACCCTTTTTCATGAAGAAGAGACCACACAATCTTTATAACAACACGACGAATACAGGGACGGAAGCATTGTTCGCCGACGTCGGCCATTTCAGCGTCCGATCAATCCAGCTGAGCATGTCCCTAGTGACCTACCCAGCTCTAATATGCGCTTATGCAGGCCAATCCTCGTTTCTTCGCAAGCATAGTGATCTAGTTTCACACACATTCTACAAGTCCACTCCTGGTATAAACATTCACAAAATTCATATGATTTCATCCCAATAATTAACTCAACTATATCATCCTATGTGTATGATTGGCAGGAAGTTTGTATTGGCCAATGTTTGTGGTGGCAGTTTTAGCATCAATCATAGCAAGCCAAGCCATGATCTCAGGAACTTTTTCTATAATTCAGCAGTCACTTTCACTTGGATGCTTCCCAAGAGTTAAAGTGGTTCATACTTCTGCTAAGCATGAAGGCCAAGTTTATGTTCCTGAGATCAATTACCTTCTCATGTTGGCTTGCGTTTGTATTACTTTGGTTTTCAAGAACACTACAAATATCGGCAATGCATACGGTAACTTACTCGCTCAAACCAACCCAACTCAACTTAACTCGACCAGCACTGACTAAATAAAGAATTTTGCTCCAAACAGGAATAGCAGTGGTGTTTGTGATGACACTCACGTCCTCCTTCCTAGTATTGATAATGGTAATGATATGGAAAACTCACATCCTGTTGGTAATCACTTACGTTGTCATAATTGGGAGCGTGGAATTGGTGTATCTAAGTTCAGTTCTTTACAAGTTCGACCAAGGAGGGTATCTCCCTCTGGCTTTTGCAGCAGTTTTGATGACAATAATGTATGTGTGGAATAGTGTGTTTAGAAAGAAGTACTTTTATGAGCTCAACCACAAAATCTCTCCAGAAATGTTCAATGAAATGGTGAGTACCACCAGCTTTAGAAGACTTCCTGGCATGGCATTTTTCTACACTGAGCTCGTTCAAGGCATCCCTCCCATCATCAAGCATTACGTCGAGCACGTGCCCGCTTTACAGTCTGTGCTCGTCTTTGTCACCATTAAATCGCTTCCTGTCAGCAAGGTTCGGAGTTGATATTAGATATAGATATAGATATAAATGACAATGTTTGAGGTTTTATGTATGTTGTTAACTAGGTTCCAGCCGACGAACGTTTCCTCTTCCGACGAGTAAAGGCAAAGGAGATCGACGTGTTTCGTTGTGTAGTTCGATACGGATACACGGAAGTGCGTGCCGAACATGAACTATTCGAGAAGATTTTACTTGAAAGATTGGAAGAGTTCGAAGGTGATCGACGGGCATTGTGTAACGACGATGGGAGAGTTGAAGAAGATGAAGAGGATGGGAATGGATTTGGAGGCGTTGCAAAAGCATGGAAGCAAGGAGTTGTTCATTTCATTGGGGAAACAGAGGTGGTTGCTAAACCGGGTGCTGGGTTTGGAGATAGGATTATGATAAACTATGCATACACCTTCTTAAAGAGAAATTTGAGGGAAACTGATCAAGTCTTTGAAATTCCTCACAAACGTATGCTCAAAGTCGGAATGACCTATGAACTTTAGACAACTTCATCATAATTTGATGTTTGTTTATGAAGCAAATACATGTATAGAAGATAAAGCTCTTCTGTTCTTCAATGTTTTAATTAATCGCTCATAAAAATAATCTTTTTTTGCCTGAACCCAATGATTATATTTGTCTCATTCATTACCGGTCTTATTTACTTTAAGTTAGTGTTTTGAATTCTAATTATTATTTCGTTAATCATTATTGAAATAAAACTATCAGTGTTTGATAATTATTGACATTTCTAGAAAATAACGGTTACTAAAAGCTAAATGTGTTGCATCTAATAGGGACGTGGGTTGAGACATTTTTAAATTCAATCCAATTATTTGAATATTCAATGATTTGTCGGACCACCGTTCATGAATCCTTGAGTCATCACGTGTGTTTTTCTCCTTGTTCCTTCTCGTAATTCAACTTTAATAGTTGAACAATTTCTTCCCACTTTGAGTATATGTTTGTGAGAAATTTCAAAGAATCGATCAGTTTGTCTCAAATTCTTCTTCAAGAAGCTGTATGCATAATTTATCAAAATCCTATCCTAAGCTCAGTTTCTCCAATCAAATGAACAACTCCATGCTTCTGCAACCCATCCAAATCCATTCTCATACTCTTCATCTTCATCATCTCTACACAATGCTCGTTGATCACTTTCGAATTCTTCCAATCTTTCGAGTAAAATCTTCTCGAACAGTTCATGTTCGGTGTGTACATCGTGTATCCATATCGAATTACACAACGAAACACGTCAATCTCCTTCACCTCTACTCGTCGAAAGACGAAACGTTCGTCGGCTAGAACCTAGTTAACAACATACATATATACATACATACATAAAACCCCAAACATTGTCATAACATATATCTCAATATCTATATGTAAAGAAATGAACCTTGCTAACAGGAAGCGATTTAATGGTGACAAAGACGAGCATGGACTGCAAAGCAGGGATATGCTTGATAATGGCAGGGATGCCTTGAACGAGCTCAGTGTAAATAAAATATAAAAATAAATTATGAAATTAAATAAACAAAATTATATATAACAAAAATAAAAAAACACTTTAAAAATATTTTAATTTAAGTATGACCTTAAGAAACATGGAATCATAACTATTAAAAAAATAAAATATATATATAAATTATGATAATAATATTGTTATTATAAATAGATAATAAATACAATAAAATTTAAAATTATTTATCTTACTCTAATAACAAAAATTTTAAATATATTTAAACTATCTATGAATTCAAATATATTTAAACTATCAATTTAGTTCAAAAAAATGAATTCAACCCTACAGAAATGTTAATCCAACTCAACTCAATCTTTATAGTTTGAGTTGGATTGGTCCAAGTGGCCAAGTAGAATGTACACATGTTAAGAATGAGAAATAGAAATAGAATTGGGATCGAAAGTATGATCTTCATTCAGGTTTACCACGTTTAAATAGGATACAAACTATCAACTAATACCTAAAAATAGAAAAAATATATATCTAACTAAATTTGGTAAATAAATAAAATATACGGTTAATAAAATCTATACTAACAACTCCCTAAATATCTGATATATATTCTAACTAATTATCACGGCAAAATATCCTCTTAATAACACAGGTAGAAATTACCTTCTGTCGTTGTAGGGATTGCCTCCCTGATCCCGCCACAGTTGGCAGATAAAACTGAAGTAAAAAAAATTAAAAAGTAATCTATTTAATTTATAAAATGTTAAAAATAATATTGCAATTAATTTGTAATTCAGAAGGGAAAAAAAGGGGAAAGGGAGACCTGAGATACAAGGGGTGAGGACGCCGTCGCCGATAACCATGGCGGTTCCGAGCATCGTCGCAAAGAGAAGAGAGACCTTCGCAAAATGGCTGTTCTCCAGCGCCGACTGAATCCTCGAAGCTCTCTTCTGTCTCCGATTCGGCAAATTCAATTGATAATTGGACACCTCTCCATCCTCCATCTCTGCGTTTGGAATCAGCCCTACTTTCGCGTACCGGCAAATCAGAGAGTACAGTGCGAAGGTTCCGCCTGAAAAATCAAAATCAAAATCAAAATCCGATTCCGATTCCGAATCACAGAAGAATCGAATGAGGCTTTTACCATCGCCGTTGTCGTTGGCCCTGAGGACGATGAACACGTATTTGATGACTGGAAGGAGAGTTAAGGTGTAGAAGATCAAAGACATCGCTCCTAAAACGTCGTCCTCGTGCTTGATTCCCTCCGGAAAGATGCCGGCGTACACGTAGAGCGGCGAGGTTCCGATGTCTCCGTACACTACTCCGATGCTCTGGAATGCTAGTTGTAATATCACACTCCATTTCTTCTTCTGCCAATTTGATTTTAAATTATTATTAATATATGGAACTGAAAAGGAAGAAAACAGCAGAGAAAAGAAGAGACTGACATCGTCATCGGAGTGATCACGACCACGGAGTTTACGAGACTCTAAATACAAGGAGTCGTATCGCCGGAGGTTTTGCGACGACATGTTCCTCTCTTGAGGAGACGGAACATCGGAACCAGACGGCACAACTTCTTCCTCTTCTATGGAGACGACGGCGTTCGAGGACGACATGTGAGGAACGGCGGCGGAAACTTCCTCTGCAACATCGGAGATCCAGTTAGCCATTGGTGGAGAAATTAAAAAAAAAAAAAAAACAGAGAGAAAATAGAAGATGTGAATTAATTGCGGGTGTGATAATTATGTAAAGAAGAGCACTATTTATATGAAAAATTAGAGACGCCCAATTTACAGCCGATCACAAAAAATAAAACTTTTTATATAAATTGATATTTATCTTCTTCTTTTTTTTTTCATAAATTTAATCCTAAACTTTTAAATTTACAATTTTAATTTCTATTATATACCAAATAAAATTTAAAAGGGTAAGACAAAAATTATTTCAGACAAGAATGAGACAGAATATTTTTTATTAAAAAAAGTTAAGAAGTCAAAAGCCTTAGATGTTTCGAAAAAGAAAGTAAAATCCGATTTTCATTCATTCCTATAGACTATAATCTATATCCTAGATCAACCTCATTTCCTTAATTGTATTTTTCCTATGCAATTTACCATTTTAAACTTAAGTCTTTAATTTTGTTTTTAGTGTTCTAATTAATTGAGATAGCAGTGCTCTTATTTTAAGAGTTAGAGATGATCTTTGAACGTAAACTTTTGATGATGTTGAAGAAATATTATTTTTTAGTAATTGTGGGCTAAAATAACATTAGTAACATCGATTGCGGAATAAAAATACAGTATTCTTCAACTTTTCATTATATAAAAAAAAAAGGGTTACATCTAAAAATATTATGCTAAATATGAGATGGAAATGGAAGGTGAAAATTAAGAAATGAAAAGAGAGGGTAAAATCATTCACACGCGATGATGGTGGGCTCCAATGCAGACGAACTCTCCCTCTCACACATTTCTGAACTAATGCGTGTAACTCCCTCCTGCATCCACATTCATTTATTTATTTATTTATTTTGTAATTTTCATAAAATATATATAATATACTAAATTAGATTTTTTTTTAATTAAAAATTTTAAGAAAGTAATTAATAATAAAGAATAAAGAATAAAGAAAAAAAATACCTTAGCCAAGTTCCTAAAATATGTGGTAGTGTAATTGGGCATAGAGAACAAAATGTGTATGACGTCTGCCAATACCAACTGGGGCTGTGACATTCCTCCGTCCAACCAATCTAATCATCCAACCATAAATTATTTATATATAAATTCAAAATTTTAAACTTTTTCTAGATTTTAGGGTTACCGAGCATAGTGGAGTCCAAAAATCGTTTATCGAATCGCCAAATGCTCTGAGTCGAAAGAAACGAGAGGCACGATTGGTCTTGAATGTCGATCAATTCGAGAAACGTGGACATGTTGTACACTGTTGGGTCTAATGTAAACGTTTCATCGATGATCACCTCTACCGTCTATCTAGAAAAATAATACAATACCAAAAATAACAGTAAGGGATTTAATAACTTTTTCATATTTTTATTTTTATTTTAATCAAGCTTATAAACAATACTTACGCATAGAATGCCATGAAAGGCATCTAAGTCGTCAGGATTTGAGACGTTGTACGTGATTTTGTTGATGGAGTCATCCACATTCTCTCCTCCTGCATCTTCTATGTACTTTTCCAATCCCATCACCGTGTGTTAGTTTACTTCTCAACTTCGCATATCATAGGCTAAACATATATTTTAGTCTCTTCGGGTGTTTTTTTTTTTTTTTTTAATTTAGATTCTCGTGATTTTACATTTTTCAGTTCAGTCCCTTATTGACAATATAAGCTTATCATGAACCAAACATAAGGGACTAAATCGAAACGAATGAAAGTTACCTTAAGCTTGTAAGCATCCTTTGTGAAAGACCACATGCCCTGTTGAAAATTTTAAATTAAAAACAAAAAAAAGTAATACAATTAATAATTGATAATAATAATAAGAAGAGGATAAATAAATAAATAAATAAATAAATAAATAGTGTGGGGATTGTAACATCAGAGTAACCCATCCAAGCAACAATGGGTTTGAAAGTCTTTCTGGTGGTTGCTATGTTCTTCAGGCACATGTAATTTTCCTTCATCTGCAAATATTTATATTTACCCAAAAATTAAAAAGTTAATTTCATAAGGTAAAAAAAATTAAATTTTATGTGAAGTTGTATCATTTCAGAACTTTGGGTAAGTTTTTATTTGAAAATTCATTGTATTATTTAAAAAAGTATATATTATTTTAATCTTTTGGAAGTTAAAATGTCAATCCATTTTAACCCATAGTAAAAAATTGACTTACCGCAGAGTAAATTTGAGTGGCTCTTGCTTCAAGGTTTGCAAAAACTCCCAAGAACTTTATCCACTCTGCTCTCTAAAAGTACCGATCAATAGAAAATGGTAAAAAAAAAAAAAATAAATAAAAAAATCAAAAGTGAAACTACTTTTTATTCCGATGATTTTAAAATCGTATAAAATAATTTTTAATAAATAAAAAATTAAATTAATTAGAAGAGAAATAAAAAAAAAAAGGCTTTACTTGCAAAGGCGTATCCTCGGAGGAAGGAAGAAAGGTGGCGAAATTGCAGGACTGTGGTTGGTCCACGTCAGCAATAAAGTGAGCTGCAAACTGTGCCAGCTGTTGGGTTTCCGTTTTATTTATAATCTGAATTTCCCCTTTTTCATATTGCTTCAATACGCATTCTGACGTCACCCTCTCCGACGTTATGGCCTTCAAGTTTCCTACTAGCCCTAGAAGCTGCTCTAACCAACCCTAATTTTTTAGTAAAATTGATCTAAAATAAAACTTTAGTTTTAAATTTCGATTTATTTATTTTTAAATATTGAATTAAAATGTGTAGCACAGTATATATTTTAAAAAGTGACGAAGAATAATTAATAAAAATAATTATAAAATTAAATAATATACATGTAATTATTTATAAAAATTAAGAATAAATTTAATCGGAATCAAAAGTTAATTTAATTTTAGAAGAACTAAGTTAGCAATTTAATGCATAAATTAAATTGATGGTAAAAGTTAAAAATGATGGATGAAAATACATACCTCGAAAAAGGAAACTGGGAGGAAGACATGAAGAGAAGAAGAAATTAAGGGAAAGTTAGATCAAGTGTAGACGTTGGATTTGGGAGATAGATAAGAAAAGAAAAGGGTAGGTACCTGGGAAGAGATGGGTATCAATGGAGTAATTATTCAAAGGAATGACGTAAGATTTGATCCTTGAAGTGCAGTACTTTGTTCTTCCAGCCATCTTAGAATTATTCTGCATTTGTTTTTAATTTTTAAATTCATTAGAAAATGGAGAATGTAAGGAAGAAGGAGGAGAAGAAGAAGAAGAAGAAGAAGAAGAAGAAGAACCTGAATGAGAAGGTAGCTGTTGCCATCAATGGCGTTCTTAATAACTTTAAACGACTGTCCATAATAAATCCTGAAGTTCACCGCATCTTCCACCTTGGAAACATTCCCCACCTTCACCGCCGCGGCGCCGCCATGAACAGGAAACCAAACGGCCAACAGGACCACCACCAATGCCTTCATTGCAGAGAAGCCCTAGAAAGCTGTGTTGTAGAGACAGAGAGAGAGAGAGAGAGAGACCGGGGAAAGTGGTGTGGAGACAGTAGGTGAACCCGTGAGTGAAAAACCAAAAGAGTGGGTTTTGAAATTTGATATTATTTAATTATTTGATTTTGTCTCGTAGCTTTCCATCATTTTGTGTTTGGGCCTTTTTGCCTTTTCCTTTGCCTTTCTGTGATAGCGGTGATGGTGGCGCTGAGTGCACTCCACGAGCCTGCTCCTCTTTTTCTACCCACTCCCCTCACTCACACCATCATTTTCACTTTAATTTAATCCATTCTACTGTCGTACCACTGTTCACTTTCAACGTAAACTCTCATAGTTTTGCTCTGGGGTTTCCCAACCGGCCTCAAACCAACTGATAGAGTATTCTTTGTTTATAAGCCCATCATCATTCCCTAAATTAGTCGATGCAGGACTTATCTCAACATTTAACTAAATCTAAATATTTAGCCTCTATGCATGTTACCATACCACGTAATAATATTTAACTAAATCTAAATATAGAGAAATCATGAACCGACTCAATTATGAACCAAAATCCAGACCTCAGCCTCAGATTCCGAACCAAAATCCGAACTGGAGCCTCGGTAGACAGCATACCCGAACTGCACGCACTTATCCGAAGCTAGGCAGGCTCGGGAATGCAGGCCTGCTTGCGTTCACAGTCCAGCAGGCTGTCACACACCCTCGACCCATTAGAGTAACGCACAGACCTGGCCCATTTTCGCCTCAACTCGTACACGCGCTTCAGCCACTTGCTTCCGGCCCATACCCAATAGCCTCGGCCCAAATCCAATAAAGAAAAAAAATTATTGATATAAAATAAAATAGGATAAAAAGAAAAAAAGGAAACAAATTGTTGTAAGAAACTAACGGACAAAGGTTCGCGCCTCTTTCCAAAACGCGCCGTTTTGATTCCTTTCCTTTCTTGTTCATAACTGCCCACCTATAAATATAAAGTCCTTTCAAAATCTCCGCCGTCGTCTTCCTCAAAAAAAAAACACAACAAAAACTTCCCGACTCCTCAACCGGAACAATTCAGGTTCTCTTTCTTACAACTTCTCAATTCGATTCACATATGATCGTTGACTGTTATATGAATTACACAAATTTTTGTGATTGTGCTTGGATTCGTTTTTCGTTAAGTTATCTTACTCTGTATATCGATTTACGACTTTTTGGGGCTTGTTGATTATTTCTCTGTTGTAGAGTAACTTAATTCCATGGGATTAGGAAATTGATGTGGTTTTTGTTTGGATTTTGTTGTTTGATTTTGGTAGAAGACGAAGACGAGACGGTAGGTTTTTCGATGGAGCATATTCTGTTTTTGGTGATTCTGTTATTTGCGTTGCCGAATTGCGAATCGTGGAACTGGTTCTCGTCTTCTTCATCTTCGGGCTCTTCTATGGGGTCTTTTAAGCGTGTTGAGGGTGGAAGTGTTTCGGAATTTTCAATTGAGGGTTTTGATGATCAAAAGGGGGTGAGGCGAATTGAGAATGCTAAGAACAAGTTGAGTACGTCTAATTCTTGTTGGGAAGGTGCTTATAGGCATCTCTTTGCGGGCTGCTCTGAGATTTTTGCTGCAGATGAGAAACGGTCTAGATTTGCTTGGCATCTTAGCGATTGCTTTCAGAAGGACTCTGGCAGGCCTCCTTTTCCTTCTTGTGATGCGGAATCCCCCATGGCCAAATGCCTCAAATACCTGAATGAACATGAGCATAGGATCTATCTTGAGTTCTACCTTGAAACTAACTCCATTTGTCATCAGCTACAGTGAGTATCCTACCTGATCGTTTAGATTATAAATCGTAATTGTTTCTGTTTAGTTTTGAATCGTTATAAAATTTTCAGTTTCGTCTTTATAATTTCAATGTAGTTTTAATTTAGCCTTCATAGTTCTAAAATTTTCAATTTGATCCTTATGACTTACAAGGTCTGAATTGATACAAGCTGAAATTTAAATAAGTTCAAACGATAGGGCATTTGGTCCAATTTGTTTTTCCATTTAATTTTGTTTACCATCCTTGTGATTTTAGCATTTTATCCAATTGGTTTTTGTCTTGTTTCCAGGGCTCATGCTTTCAAGCATGACACAGAGAGGCTAGTGAATGAACTGAAGAGATCTTCCGAAGCTGCAGAAGGCAAGTTAGAATCCATCGAAGAAAAATCGGAATCTCTGCTGCAAAATTCATATCAAATTTATGATTCCTTGAACTCTACTGGTGTTCAAATACAAAAAATGGTTCAAACATCAAGAAAACTAGAAGATCACATGGGCACTGTATTAGAGCACTCTGAAGCAGTTTACGAACAATCCAAGAAGATCGAAACATCCCAGTTGGAACTCCAAGAAGGTCAGTTAAAACTGAGAAGAAGTTTGGAGGAAGGGATGGAAATGCTTCAGGATTCCTACAGCAACCTTGGCCGAGAGATGGACGGTTTACGAGAAGAAGCGATCGAAATCGAAAAGGAGATAGCCAAAGTGGGAGATTCAATGTCTTTGAAGATGAAGTACCTGCAGAGCACGGCTGATGATATTGGGAATATGGCAGGGCTTTCATTGGACAAACAACAAGAACTTCTAGATGCTCAATCCACAGCACTCAATGGTCTTCATTCTTTAAGCAAAGTTCAATCAGAAGCGCTAGAGGATAGCAGGTGTATAAAATTACGATTCAAAACAAAGCTAGACCTAATTAAAATTTCTCTAACTTGAATTTTGACTTGCAGGCGTAAGCTGCAACAATTGGCTGAATATGGCCGCAAACAACAGGATGAGTTTCTTCAGCGACAAGGACAACTCCAACAACTTCATGATCGTTTGATGGACAATTCAAATTCAATCTTGGAAGCTCAGGTAAGCTTTTTCTTTAAGCCAAATGCTTTTGTCTGTTAAATGTTAATGAAAAGATTAAATTTAGGGCAACCCATCACACATCAGCTCAAGCTCTTGGGTTTATTGGTGATGTGTTGAATCTTCATGAGTTATGTTACAAAGTCTGAATCTGTTTCTTACTTTTCTTGCCCTGCTGACAGCAATCATTTGAATCAAAGCAAGCAAATATGTTCATTGCTTTAGAGAAGCTTTTCACCTTGCACAATGCAATGTTGCTCGAATCTCGACTAATCAAAGTTTTCCTCATTTACTTCATTTTAATCTTCATCGTCTACATGTTCAGTAGCACCAAGCAAACTTACACCGTTAGGCCCTGGCTATATATCGGTAACACAAATTTCTATTCAACAAATCTTCTCTTTGTTAGCAAAAATCTGATAGACCACTGATCAAATCCAAATTCTCATGATTTCCAGAGCTGTGTGTTGCATTCTTAATCGAAGTAGGCATACTACGGTTTGAGATGTTCAACATGGAGCAGAAAACATGGATCATAAACTCGGTGCGGACAGTGTTCTTGCTTGCTGCTTCTCTTCAGCTTCTACATGCCATTTGCACATACAGGTAAAACCATCACAGAACTTAAACCAAATGAAACCTTAGCCATAAATGAAAAACCAATACACCTCATAACGTTTCGCATTTGGAAATTGCAGAGACTATGATGTTTTAAACCATCACATGCTATTAATGTTAATGGAAAGGATCAATGGAATGCAGACACAAAATAAGATATGTTGGGAAAGTGATAGTGAGGTGAATTGGTCATCATGGATTGACACAGAGTTATCTGAAGATGTTGATGATCCTGATTTTGTTCTTCCAGAAGAAGTGGGAGAGAATTCAATCACCAGTGCTTTAACAACAAGAAGGTACAATCTTCGCCATCGACCCCTTCGTTAGTAATTTATCTTTCGTAAATGCTGGCTGTACCTAAATATTTAACGCTTTACTTTGTAATTTAAAGTGATAGTCTCTGTTTTGGAGACATATATAGGAAGGTTATGTTGTTATGTACCATTTTTTTTTTTTCTTTTGCATAGTACATTGAGAAAAGTTGATTATTGTAAACGAGTTCCATCTATTTAATACCGAATGTTCGTTTGTTTCTCTCTGCTTTCTTATCATCTATCTTTCCTGACATTGACCGATGTGTATTCAATTATTGTTTTGTGTAAACTTTATATATAATAAGTCTCTAGTTTATGTGATGGTTAAGTCTCTAGTTTATGTGATGGTTTGCTATTGAATGTTCGACCACTGTCAACCATAGTAGGTGACCACCACCGCACCATCAGCGACCACCAACCTCATCCCGCAACAGTTGTTAACCTGTGGTTAGCTGGTCATAATACAAATTTGAACTTTAATATTCATAATGTTTGTTAATTTTTTTATTTTATTTTATTTTTTTAAAACTTAATTGTATTTGTAAAGCTTAAATGTATGGAAAGATAAAAGATAAGTTTACAATATTGTTTAAGTCTAAATACTTAATAACACCACGTAATAAACCCAAACACAGCAACCGCCTTTTTCAAATTTATTCTATGTTACAAAGACAAGAACAAGAAGGAACACGCAAAGAAGAAGATGAATTTTGCTTAGCTTCTGCAACGAGTAATGACAGTACAACCCCGCTGATACGGGTTAGCTTCAGCCCCCGGCTGGCAATTGTAGTAGGACGAACCTCGTCGAGAGCATGGAATGTTGTTCGCCTTCAACGACTTGTAACTTATGTAACTTGAAGTGGCTAAGATACGACGATTGATCTCAGAATCCATTTCAAACTCAACATCCATCATGCATTCACTTAACGAACGTCCATGGCATCGAGCTTCAGTGGAGAGCCAGCTAAGACTACGGTCACCACTCATGGCCACGACCATTAAAGAGGACGAAGAGACAAAGAAGGCTATGGTGAAAATGAGCATAGAGAAGAAGGCAGGTGGAGAAGAAGAGTTGCCCATGGTTGAATTCTAAGTATGCCAAGGGAAAGAGCTTGTTCTCATTTAAAGCGTTTTGATTCCAAGGAAATGGCTTTGGTTTTTTCATTTTATTTACACATATGCCACAAGTTTTCTTTTTGGAGGGGTCTTTTTTGTTCTCATTTCCTTTGTAGAACTTTTGAAAATTCAAAAAGCATTCCAATTTATGTGAAGACCCTTTTCACAACCTACCAAGAAAGTGATAAAAATGATATTAAAAGATAGTGTGGTTGTTCAAGAAAGCTAAGTTCAAGAAACAGAGAGTCCACCAACTGGTTTCTTTTAACTCAGAATCTATTGCCCCAATGACCCATCTGATCATATCAATTCAATCACCCATCCTCCAAACACAGTTATAATAGCAAACACAATTAGCTAAGAATGTATAACTAGACCTTGTACTCTTCTGGTGTTCGTGTGGAAGTCGAACGAGTAGCGAAAGCGATGCCATCGATAGTTTCCACGAGCATTTGCATATCGTTTCTGTTTATCTCATCTTTCTAGCTTGCTTAGAAGAGCGTCCATTGGTGGTAACTCTTCAATAATTTTTTGCCAGTCGGGCATTCCCTGCAAATCATCACCAAAAATGAGGAAAAAGTCTGCATGATCCTCAAAGGACTTTTGCAAATGGAATATATAAACATGGAACAGAGCCACTACGAAGAAGAAGTTACGGGAGTTATATAGATGAAATAGTTGACTGATAACATGGTTTAGATCTCCGACACTAAGATGTGTTTCCATTAGAATGAAGAAGAAGATTTTCGTGATATGAACATACTCTCCCTGATCTTCGAACTCGACCATCCAATCGCAATATTATGTAGACATCCTCACCAGGAGTAACCCCTTCAGATTTCTGCTGGTCTCTTATCCAACTAATTCAACAAACAAAAATAAGTCATAATACAACTTTGGAGTATCTAATCAATGAATTCATATTATCCAATGAGCATCTTTTGTATTTCATTTCAATACATTAATGAATGGTTTATGTTTCAAATAAAAACAAAAAATACAACTTTGTAAGATAAGAAAGGTGAGTTTGCAAAGATATTGTGAGATTCCACATCGGTTGGGAAGGAAAACGAAACATTCTTTATAAAGGTGTGGAAACCTCTCCCTAGAAAACGCATTTTAAAAATCTTGAGGGGAAGCCCGAATGGGAAAGCCCAAAGAGGTCAATATCTGCTAGCGGTGGGCTTAGGCTGTTACAAATTGTATCAAAGCCAGACACTGGATGATGTGTCAACGAGGAAGCTGAGCTCAGAAGGAGGGTGGACACGAGGCAGTGTGCCAGCAAGGACATGCTGGACCCCAAAGGGAGGTGGATTGGGGGGTCCCACATTGATTGGAGAAGAGAACGAGTGTCAGCGAGGACGCTAGGCCTTGAAGGGGGGATAGATTGTGAGATCCCACGTCAGTTAGAGAGAAGAACGAAGCATCTTTACAAGGGTGTGGAAACCTCTCCCTAGCAGACGCGTTTTAAAAACCTTAAGGGGAGACCAAAAAGGACAATATCTGCTAACAGTGGGCTTGGGTTGTTACAGATAAGCTGACAAGTAAATTAGATGACGGGAAGCAGGCATGCGTAGACAGGTATACACTTACCTTTCCCATTCTGCAGGTGATATAACATCAGCCCTGAATCGAATTTCAGCTTTCAACTTCGATTTGGCGGTTATAGACTGAGCTCGTTTCTCAAAATCTTCCTACAATAGTTCCATGAGAACAAGAGAACCTACCGATTAGCTTGCGAATTTTCTAGTTCGAACATGTACAAACAACAGCATAATTCAGAAGGATAAAGGATATCCTTAAACAAATGTAGGACATGATAGAAATAGATTGATCTTACTTACACCAATAGATGGCAGAGCAGCAGAACCAGCAGGGGCTGGAGCACCAAACCCTTTCTTTTCCATTCGGGTCTCCCGACCTTCGCGCCATATGACAGGAACTAAGAGAACACCTCGTCTAAGGAGCTCAGTTCTGAACCTCTCTGCCTTTTGGATGGCTGAAGAAACTGTCTCCTTTTTCCCAGCTAAAATGACCTTCCTTGCAAGGTAAATTGATTTAAGGAATGCAGAATGTACATAACTAGGAATATTAGAAGCAATAGAGCCCAACTAGGAATATTAGCAAAGGAATTCCGGAAGATTTTATAGATGGAACAGATACCAAACGGTAACAGCTCAAGCTCACCGCACCGCTAGCAGATATGGTCCTTTTTGGGCTTTCCCTTTTGGGCTTCTCCTCAAGAATTTTAAAACGCGTCTACTAGGGAGAGGTTTCCACACCCTTATAAAGAATGTTCGTTCTCCTCTCCAACCGATGTGGGATCTCACAATCCACCCCCTTCGGGGCCCAGTGTTCTTGCTAACACTTATTCCCTTCACAATCGATGTGGGACCCTCCAATCCACCCCCTTTGGGGCCCAGCGTTCTTGCTGGTACACCGCCTCGTGTCCACTCCCTTCAGGCCTTGCCATCCACACTGGCACACCACCCGATAGCTGGCTCTGATACCCAATAAGTTAGGGACATGAAGGCAAAATGGGCAAATGAAGTGAGTGATCAACCCTATTACATGAATGTTGGACTTACCATTCATTGATGGAATCATTAAGGGGTAAGATGAATAATCATACTCACCGGTCTTACAGTATCTCGTAGCTGAACAAGTTCAACAACTCGATTGGTGGAAAGACGTAGAGGCAACCTTGATAACGTTTCATTTCTTGATATTTGTGCAAGCTGTTCCTCTTCTTTCTTGTTGTCCCATAAAAATAACGCCACAAAAACGACAATACCTGTTAAATGCTGATTGGAAAGTTAGTATTTCAGCTACCTCACCATAGTGAACATGTAACTTTTCATTAATATATTCCTCAACTGAATGTACCTCCAACATTAACAGCTAAATTTCCAACAGTTTCCCAAACATCAGGAGCTTCATTACCACCTTGAATAGCACGAAACAACCTCGGTAGATTAAACAACAGCGAAATTCCAGCAGCTGCAGACAGTGCCACATAAAAGAACCTCCGAACCCCTCGAAAAGGTGCTTGGACTTCACTAATGAGTTTAAGATCTCTTCGAAATCCATATCCTATATCTTCTCCACCCATCCTAGCCTGGAAACCATATTATTCAGAAATATAATTGAACGAGTAATTGTGAATACGTTGAAGATGGCAAAATGAAGAGAGCAGCATTTAGCGACGAACCTCTTCTTGCAATTCCTTGAATTCAGGAAGAGCTCTGAATGAGGCCAAGTCAGGATCATTCAAAATTGTGCCAAATTTCAGGTCATATTCTCTTAATGCAACACGCAGACAGTCAGCAGCTTTCTTTCCTTCCCCACTACCTCAAAACATTCAGAGACACAATCCATCATCTTTGCTGAATCAGAATTCTAGTTTTTCAAAACCTTTTTAGAGTATAAAAGTACACGCATTCAACACCCCCCTAAACTATGTCCATTATATTATATTCTTCAATGAACCTGGATTAATGCAGTGACGAGCAATAAGCTGTGTTAATAAGTAAAAGAATAGAGACCTTTAAGCATACCGATAGGCATGACAGCATGCTTTATTGTACAAAGCAGCTTGGGCCTCCATTGGGTTGGGATTCATATCCAGTGCTGCTTCAAACTGGACTAAAGCCTCTTTGACCTGAAACATTCATTGTTTTGTGAAATGTACACAAAGAGACACACACTTCTTACAGAATATCCAAAGCCAATGAAGAAGAAGCTAGAGTTTTGCAGAAATTTGGCTGAGTTCTTCCTTGGCATAGAAAGTCAAGGTAGCCATTACACATATTATACCAAAGTCCATCAAAAATCCAAAAGAAGTTGCAGTGGTTTCTCACAGAAAACTCTGTAATTATGTACCAAAAGAGACCATTCAAGAACAAGCCCAGAAGAACAAACTAAAAAAAATCCAAATTAGGGAACAAGTGTGAAGGAATTAAAGAATACCCAATTGGTAGAAAGCAAGAAAGTAGAGAATAAAGGAAGTGGTAAGAGAAGGGAATGAAATAGAAAGGAAAAGAACGCACACCCGTCCTTTAGAGAAGAGCTGGAGGCCGAGATTGACAGAGGACTCCGCAGATTCGACGTTAGCTTCGGGGGATTGAGAAGTAGAAGAGCAACAGAGAATAGAGACATGGAAAGCCCTTTGGGAATTGGAAGTGGGTAGGCGCTGCCTGAGAATGGTTGCTGATTTGGGATTAGAGAGGGTGAGCAGCTGGTGGAACACAGGAAGAGTAGCCATACCCAAAGCCATGGAAACTTCAGCTCGCGGGTTGGGAACCTCACATCGCCCCAAATCAATATATTCAATAATATCCAAATAACGGATGAAGCGACGAATCTGTCAAAAAGATGAATCAACCGCGCGAATATGACCCACTTCATTTTCCACGTATATATATACTTCAGTTTATTTTATTATTATTATTTTTTTTAAATCTTGAAATTAATCAAATAATATTTGTTTATGCATGAAAATTATTGTTATTATTATTATTATTTGTTTAATGTAGATAAAAAATTAAATATGAGATATATTGATGGCATAATAACTAAATTTAAAATTTATTAAATTTAAGAACTAAAATTAGAAAATGGAAGGATTTTATCCGATTAAAATCTCAAACTAACAATTATTAATTTAGACTATAGTTAATATTCTAAAGCTATTTTCGTTTATTTCTATTTAAAACTAATACGTAATTATTTCTAAAGAAGCAAAAAAAAAAAGACGTACATATGAAAATTTCTCAAATTTGAAGTGCAATAATTATTACACTATTACATGTAAAGAAGTGAAAAAGTTTTGAATTTAATGTTTTAAAAACAAAATTCTAATGGAATATCTAAAATTAATTTACAATTGATCAAGGTGGCTCGTGAGAAGATCGTTCTCCCATGCCAAAACTCAAAGCACCTAGAACAGTGAGTGTTTGAACAATATTAGGAGACAATTTGTAAGCTTTAAGAAAGGAACAAACAAACAAGCTACCTAATACTTAATATTCAAAAAGGATCACCCTCCTCCTTGCACTGATGAAAACAATACAATAAATATCCAAGTACTTCCCCGCTCCCATATTACTCAAAACAATCTTTTTCAAAACTCAATCTATCGCTACATTGTCATACGATAGAGAGATCTTCACACCCTTATAAACAATGTTTCATTCCCTTCGATGTGAGATTTCAAAATCCACTAAGTCCACCGCTAACAGATATTGTCCACTTTAGCCCGTCACGAATTGTCGTCAGCTTCACAGTTTTTAAAACGTGTATGTTAAGGAGAGATTTCCATCACTCTTATATGCAATACTTCATTTCCCTCTCCCAGTTTTCATGCATAACACAAATACCATTCTTTCTGAGGAAAGAACATGAAAGAAAAAGAACATGAAAGAAAACAACATGAAAAACATAAAAATAATGTTTTAGAACACATTCTCCAAGAATAGTGTAAGATGTTGCAGGTTAAAGGGTCAACACTAGCGAGAAGGCAAAGCATGTTGGTTTACACAAGACAATACACAAATAACAGTTCGTAGAGTTTTGTGTAAATGACAAGACCAGATACAAGGCTTAATTTTTCAATTCATGCAGTTTTGACTTCAATCCATATAAGAAAATAAGAACGTCAAGCTTCTTTTGAACTTCGAGAGTCGCTAAAAGTGGGCTCTAGTAGAGAAGGATTTGAAGTTTTCAATATTCCAGAACATCTAAAACATGTGAAATTCCCCAAACATTTCAGTCAAAAATACACCTACAACGATATCTCAAAAGGGTTAAGGACCTACATGCCATTGACAAGCAAGCAATAATCAATCTCAATTATGTAAATAATCTAACTCTGGACCTGGTCAGAAACAGATTATGACTAGAAGCTATAAAGGATGGGACAACACACCTTGCTTTCTTCTCAAAATTGGATAATACGTAATGGAATCAAACAACATGAAAGCGAAGATTCAAATTTATAGATCAATAGAATCTTACTTATTCAGCAAAAATAATAAAACAGAAAGTGCTCAATCTATAACCTACAGTGCAATGCCGACAGGAATGAACAGAAAGATATAGAAAGATGAAACATAACCTAATAGGCTGAGTAATGTTCGGCAACTCCAGGACGTAGGCTGTTGTAAATAGCCCTGGCAACAGGAAGGAGAGCCAGAAGAGCAATCTGAAGTTGGTCAGAGCTGCTTGTTTTGACAGAGATCTGTCCACTTAGTTTGTTGTTGATTCCTGCACGTACTGCCATTTTGTAACTTCGTCCAACAGAAAACTGTGACTGAAAGTTTGCCCCCAAAGCCGTGTCTCCTCTCCATTTTACAAGAGATAAACCAAGTGATGATTGATCTTGTCCGATTGGAAAGTCGGCCTCCCTCAGCCGCATTTCCAGATTGGCCCCGAATGCAGAATCACCCTGAGATCGGACAGTGCCAGTGCTACCAACCAGTACAACACGCTTCCCAAGTGTAATCTGATCTTCAACTTTAAATCCTGGGCACACATTCTCTCCCAAGAATGTCACTGATACCCCAGCAGCTGTTTTGTTTTTTCTGAAACTTTTGAATTTTGTCTCTCCTCTAAGGATGTATGCAAGCTGCCTTCCAATATTTTGAATGTCAAAACCTGCCATGGTAGAACCATTCTCTCCATGCTTGGCAGAAACCGAGGAATCTAAGTGGATATTGAATTCTTTTTTGTCCTTGGTAATTTGAACAGCAACAGCAGCAGGAAATCGACTAACAATGGCCATACTGTGTTCAAGATTCACACCATCATATCCACAGTCATGATCCCAACCGTGGGTGTCCAAGACTGGCCTCGCCAGGAACTGAGACGTTGGCTCCAAGAATCGGAATCTGTAAGCTGGATTATCACCATCAAAAGAAGGAGGGAGGGCCATGTCAGGTAAAGGAACCTGCACAGCAGCTGGACCACCATTTTCCTGGTCATCTTCCCCCATGTAGCCATAATCATCTACAGTAGGTTGTTGACCCTTCTTCATATCTCTCATCCTTTTTAATTCCTCTTTCCACTGCTTTTTCTGGAGCAGCTTCACCCGATAATCATATTCCTCAAAGTATGCCTTCCTTTGCTCTTTGCTAAGCTTAGAAACCTGAGAATTTCTGAGAGGCTTGAACGGAGGGAGCTGGTCATACTCATCTTCCTCCTCTTCTTGATCAGAATCAGACAAGTCGGCCAAATCAATATCAGAATCACCATTATCACCATTTTGATCTGATGGTAGCTTTGGGTGTGTGCGGGATTGCAACAAACCAGACAATAAATATGGAAGAGGAGGTGAACGGCTACGGAGACCAAAAAGCTTCCTGTGGTCAAATGTCTCTGGAGCTTTTGAAAGATTTCCTACTTCGGCCAGGATTTTAATAGAGAAACATAAAAGTAATAACTGAGGCCTCCAGCTTTGACCATTGGGAAGCACCTTCTGGCCATCTCTATTCTTCCTACAAGAGGGATGATTTTCGACAAGAGAAACCGGATTCATTAAAGTTGGATTTAGAATGCGCAGATCACCAACAGCTTGAGCAACAGTTTGCTGAAGAACATGAGACCGTTGAGCAACAAACACCTCATAACCCAAAGGGGAACCAGATGGACCATCAGGTGGAGCAGAGGCAGCATGAGTAAGAGTAATAATGGCATTTTTCCAGACGGAAGAACCAAGATAGCTGGATACTGATCTTAACAACAGAAGATCATTAAGATCTCTGGTTTGGTTATCCAGCCGGTCCACATAAAGAACAATATCAGGAGGAAATTTTTTCATTACATTCTTAATTGAGGATAAAATTCTGTGGTTGATACGGCGCTCAGATGAAGAGGATCTAAGACCAGGTGAATCAAAAATCCTGATCTTAACACCTTCTACTGTCCCAATAATTTCTTTCACCGAAGTTGTACCAGGCCCAAATGCATTGATTGGAGTTTTATCTTCCCCAAAAATTGAATTTATAGTTGCACTCTTTCCTACACCCGATTTCCCAAGAACAAGTATGTTCAATGAGAAGTCCAAATCTTCCTTTCCTTCCGCTTCAAGCTGCATTGCAGTATTTTTTGCATTATCAAAGCTAAATAGCTGACCAGTAGACCTACCAGCTACAAGCCCAAAACGATATAAAACCTGTGCGACTAATGAATCATCCGGAGAAACACCTAGTCTCTGAACAAGCCTTAAAAAGTTCACCCTTTTCTGCTGTAACTTTTGTAGTTTACTTTTCTCCTCTTCGCTCAATTTATTTTCAGAATCATCCCCCACTCTAGGATTTGCTGGGGCAAATGAGAGAGGGCGGCTTGGGCGGGAAGCATTTTTTCCAGTTACAAGCGAGGAGCCAAGACCAGCAGGACGTTCAATGGAAAAAAGCCGGGAGCCATCCTGAGATGTCACAGTGATAGGGCCACCATCTGAGCCAGCATCTCTAGCTGCTTTCAAAAGTGCTGCCAAAGCAGCAGAATCAAACAACTCCTTTCCATCACCTTCATCATCTGTGTCTGCTTCATCCGAGTCTGTGACAATCTGACCATCTATTCTCTGTGATTGATCAATAGAACTCTCTGCACCAGAATGGAAACCAGCTCCTGAGGCTCTTTCCAACTCCTCCATGAATTCTCTAGCAGCTTCAGAACTACCAAATATCTCACCTTCAGTCTCTCCATCTGTAACGGAACCCTCAATATCACCTTCTTCATCTAAAGGATGCTTTTCCCCATCTACTTCATTCAAAACTGGTTTAAGTGCCTTGGGAGCATCAGAAATTCCACTATCTATCACTGAAGCATTATCAGGGATGCTTTCTTTAACCAAAGACCTAGCCTCCTGAGATGGTTTAGGTTCAACTTCACCAGGCAAATCCTCTCTTATTTTAGAATCATATTTAGAGTCTTTTTCATCAGGCTGCTGATCTTCTACATCCATAGCCGCAAGATTTTCATTTTTCGCAATATCAGAAGCCGAAATTTCTCTGTCTCCATGAGAGACAGTTTCTTCTGCTGCAACTGCAATACTGACTTCCAGCATGTTATTGTCAATCTCAGGGTTCGAAACCAAAGAATTATGGTCAACAGAATCATCCGTTTCATGCCCAACATTATCAAACCCATTATCCAATTTGGCAGCTCCATGTACCAAATCCGCAGTCTCCCTATTTCCTACATCCTTTATTTCCACCGGATTACCAACAGCAGCTGTTACTGATACCAATGAACTTTCATGCAAGATTTTGTTATCTAAAACTGAATCAGTAAATTCATCTGCTAGCTCTGCAACCTTGGAGTTTGCTTGATCATCCTGGTCAGCTTTGCTGTCAACAGAAGAACCAGGTTCCAATTTGGGAAACTGTTCTCCATCTTCAGCATCCTCCTTGTCATTCAATATAATCTCCCCATCTGCTTGAATCTCTGCCACAGGACTTCCTTTATCCACTTCTGCTTCTTTTCCCCCATCTGCTAGTTCTAAAAACTTGGAGTTTTCTAGCTCTGCAACCTTGGAGTTTGCTTGATCATCCTGGTCAGCCTTACTGTCAACAGAAGAACCAGATTCCAATTTGGGTAACCGTTCTCCATCTTCAGCATCCTCCATCTCATTCAATATAATCTTCCTATCTGCTTGCATCTCAGCCACAGAACTTCCTTTATCCATTTCTGCTTCTTCTCCCCCGTCTGCTAGTTCTAAAAACTCAGAGTTTTCTAGCTCTGCAACCTTGGAGTTTGCTTGATCATCCTGGTCGTGTTTACTGTCAACAGAAGAACCAGATTCCAATTTGGGTAACCGTTCTCCATCTTCAGCATCCTCCATCTCATTCAATATAATCTTCCTATCTGCTTGCATCTCAGCCACAGAACTTCTTTTATCCATTTCTGCTTCTTCTCCCCCATCTGCTAGTTCTAAAAACTCAGAGTTTTCTAGCTCTGCAACCTTGGAGTTTGCTTGATCATCCTGGTCGTCTTTACTGTCAACAGAAGAACCAGATTCCAATTTGGGTAACTGTTCTCCATCTTCAGCATCCTCCATGTCATTCAATATAATCTTCCCATCTGCTTGCGTCTCAGCCACAGGACTTCCTTTATCGATTTCTACTTCTTGTCCTCCATCTGCTAGTTTTATAAACTTGGAGATTTCGTCATCGCCCAGAACAGCTTTGTCGTCAATAGGAGAACCAGTTTCCAAACTTTTTAATTGCTCTCCGTCTTCAGCAGCGACCTTGTCATTCAATTCGACCTCCCCATCTGCCTGGTTCTCAGCCATGAGACTTCCTTTTTCCGTTTCTGCTTCTTGTTTACTATCTGCTAGTTTTGAAAGCTTAGAGCTTGCTTGGTCTCCCAAATCAGCTTTGTCATCAGAAGAAGAACCAGGAGATTCCTGTTCTTTTAATTGTTCTACAACTTCAGCAACCACCTTCTCATTTAAGCCAATTCCTTCATCAGCCTGCCTCTCAGTCATCGGACTTTCTTTATTCAACACTGCTTCTTTTCCTCCTTTTGAAGCCTCATTTTGTCGCTGTTCGACTGTCACATCATTCAATTCATCCTCCTCCGACACCTGCTTCTCACCATTAGCAGTTTCCTCGAACGCAGAGCCAACATCCTCAGCTATTGAACTTTCAGGCACGTCACTCTCCTTTGTGTTCCCCGACAACTCAAACGTTCTTTCGTAAACTTGACTAGCATCCCCTTCATTCACCACATCACTCACATCCGCATTTCCGCCAGATACGAGAGCCTCCTCCTTTTCAACTGGAATCTCAATTTCATTACCCTTACTATCAACAAAATCTTCTCCATCCACTTTATCATCCCTTTCCTCATTCCTCCCCAGGCTTTCATCCTCCTCCTCGACGTCACTATCAACAGAAATCTTCGCAATTGGCCTAACACTTTCGGGAGCCGAAAATTCCGAACAACTCACAAAAGAACTACCACTATCACCCCCTTTGATGGAATTTCCGAAGGATTCTTCCTCTGGATACTCCACAATAGGTCTATCAAAAGCAGATTCAAATTCCTCCTCCCCACTCAGAAACCCGTCAGTTTCCGAGCCACCACCATCACTACCATCCCCATCGCCACCAACACCAGTTTTAATTTCACTAACCTCCATTTCTCGGGAGGGCATATCGACATTGGAATCAACGGAAGAAGACGAAAAGGACGAGGAGTAAGTCGAAGAAGAACCTGAGAAGGCAGAGTTCTGCAGCGACGGTTGTTGAGATAAGTCCTTCGATTCCATCGAGGCGAGTTGTGTGTGTTTGTTGTGAAATTGAAAATGGAGAATAAAAGAATTCAATGGAGCTCCGTTGGGGAAAATTAATCCACAACGTCCTGTGTTTGACAGGAAATTGTGGGGGGGGGGGAGCGGCTGAGAGTCGGAGAGTGCTCCGAAAGAGAGATAGAAGAATGGTGAAAGATAAGGTTTTATTGTGATGGGAAGAACTCTCTATCTCTCACAGCGCTTCTACGGGGGCTTTTCACTCGACCAACAATATATATATATTTTTCTTTTTCTTTTTCTTTTTCTTTTTCCTGTTAAATACTATTTTAGTCCCAACTTCCGCTTTTTCAGCTTTTTCTTTTTTTAATTATACAAAATACTTAAATATTATTTTATTTTCGTCCTTATATTCTAATTTTCATTTAACCATTATTTTAAAATATTACAAATAATATTAATCCCACAACCATTTCAACAACTGATCTCAATCGTTTATATCATATGGTATAACTCAAACGTTGGATTTACATCTTTTTAGTTCCTCCGAGCTTCACTTACTTAGCTAACTCGTTAATCTCATGTGTTCTATCTCGATAATTGATATTTTAAAATTCAACACTTTTGAGCTTATAATTTAATCATTGATGTTCACGACCTACTCGATGATTTGTGTCTTATCAACCAACTTTTCTTATCTTGTTTCAATCGTTGCGTCACATGTTCTATATAATGATTGATTCGTACTATTTAATTTCATTAAGCTTAACCCAATGATTTGGTTCCTTATTCTTTAAAGCTCATGCATTTATGTGTTTTTTTTGCTCGAGGCTGCCAATGCTATTTGCTGCTCGTCTTTCCTAGTCCCTCGTCGTTTTCCACCACCGCTTGACACTGCAAGAGGAGTCGCCATCGTGGTCGAAAAGAAGACACTGAGTAGAGACCCGACGAGGAAGATGAACGATTCAGAGAAGTTTAGACCGGCCTAGTCAAACCGCTAGTTGAACCTATGGCAGCCGCGCACATACACCCCAGACACATCTAAGGATTCTGGACCCAAGCCCAATTCTTCTCGCCCATATACACCTTAGTTTAAAAGAGTAAGATTTTATTTTTATTTAAAGATTAAGACTCTGTTTAATAATCTTTTGTTTTTTTATTAAAAATTAAGCTTATAAACACTACTTCTATATTTTGTTTCCCGAAATTAAATAAGTTTTGAAAATTAAAAAAATTAATTTTAAAAATGTTGTTTTTATTTTTAAGATGGGATTAAAAGTTCAAATATTGTGAGAGTGAGAAAACGAGAAATAATTTAAAATTTTCGGCAAAATCAATTGTTTATTAATTTTTAAAAAAAATTCTTTTAAAATTATGTTGATTTGTAAAATTTGGTTCATTAACTTATAACATTTTTTAAAATATGAAAATATTGTTTAGGTATTACAAGTGAATTGGGTTGGATGCAAAGCCCAGTAATCAAATTGGGCCTGCATGCAGTGTCCACCACCAAGACCAAGTGATATGGGCTTTCAGCCCAAATAACTAGTAATTTCATTTTGTTTACCTTCCCAAATATTACCATATACCATTTATCCACCAATTTTACGGGATGACCTCCTAAAAGTGAGAAACAAATATATTAAAATGACCCGAGTTAGTTTTTGGGATGATCCTCACTTTTATAAGCACTTTAAAACAAGTTGGTAACGTAGTTATGTCGTGGAGATACAAGAGAATGTCGAATCCTAGATTCAAAATCCTAGTTCAACTCCTAAGCCTCAAACAATACATATATATTAGCAAGGATGAAATATATTAATATTATCGATAACTCAAATTTACTGACGTATCGATATATATATATGGATATTGATCGTCGTTAAACACTAAAAAAGGATTTTACTTTTTAAAATTAATATGATTGGAAAAAAAAAGACCGACTCCCCTCCTCCCTCGTATCATTATCAGACATCTAATTATAAAATATATCACAAATATTTGGGTCAATATTTTGATGTTTTTAATTCAATTTATTATTAGATTAAAATATTTAATTCAATCTAAAATATAGTTAAAACTTTTTCCATGCCTCCATTTTTGACTTGGCTAATATTTAAGTTTGGTCCTGTTTTATTTTGTTCTTTTCAATGTCCTACTACATATCTGGTATTGACATAATTTGTTTTTTTCTATTTTTTTTAATTTATATTATTTAGCTAGTACATGCTGTCACGTGCCTGACATATGACATTTATGTTGTTATGCTGACCTCTAGCAATAAATCTGTCTAGATTGACAAAAACTTACATCATATCGTAACAGCTGATCGAAGCACTGAGTCACACCTCGTATGGTTATCTAATGTGTGGACTATTAGAGAGTCGCCAATTAACCTTTATTAATGAAGTATCTCAATTGAGGTCAGCATTTATATCAAAATAGTTGGTAGATACAAAGTTACATTCTTAATGCATATGATATCAATACTACTTTATTAGTTTGTCGGTGTAAAGCCTTTTATGGAATTTCTAACTATTTTTTAGCCATGAACTTATCTAGATCGATAAGAATCCACATGAGTATATTAGCAGTTAGCAAGTGCAAGGGTTTGACTTCCGAGATTATGATTGTTATACTTCATAAGAACGGCTAGAGAGTGGTGTGAGATCCCACATTGATTGGAGGGTAAAACGAAACATTTCTTATAAAGGTGTGGAAATCTTTCTTTAGCAGCGCATTTAAAAATGTGAGGTTGACGGCAATACGTAACAGGTTCCAAAAGCCCAATTGAATTACTTGAACTAGAAGAACGAACCCCATAATTAAAATAAGTTGACACAAGGTCAAGAACCTTACATTTAAGACGAACCTAAATGAATTGACAAAGTCATCAGGAAGCTCCAAAGTCTTAAATAAGCTATCTTTTGAGTCGACTAGATCATTCATTAAAGAGATTTGTCACATGTTCAATTACAATTGGGTCCCTTTCAAACTTAAAAGATACATGGTACAAAGGTGCCTCATTTTGCCCTACATGAATGGGCTTCATTAAAGTCCTCACTTATTTTAAATAAATCTAAATAAAAATAGTTATAAATATTAATAAATAGTTTTTTTTATAACAAACTTAAAATTTGGAGTTATAAATTACAATTTCTTTTTTGCAAAATTTAAAATGAACTATATTTAAATAATAAAAAAAACATAATTATAAAAATAAAAAAAAATAAATAAATAAAAACTATTTTCTTCCCTCCCGACAAGAAGCTTTAGTTGTTTCCAACTTTGTAAAAAAAAAACATGAATAAAATATTACTTTATGAATTTTTATCTAAAAATAAATAATAATAAATAAGTTTGAATATTTTAATTTTAAAATATGATTCGAAAGAAATTATAAATTATTATTGAATATAAAAAAAATTGAAAATTAAGAATTACGTGTCACAGTATTGACCACTCCATCTACCAAACTAAAGTGGATTCAGCTGTGGTATCATGACAGTAACTTTTTATTATTAAAAAAAAGCCAAAAAGTAATAATAAAATTTTCCAAAATTTTAAAGGGAGAAAAATAATTGATGGTAGCTTTGTTGGCACAAATACCAAAAAATACAACTTTTTAAATAATGAGAAAACATTTAAATCCAAAACTTTCTTTTTATAGACTTTATTAATATTTCAAATTTAATTATGCGCCTTATTTTGAATTAGTCAATATAGGACTTATGAGTTTCTACTAAATTAGTCAACTTAGGATTTATCTTCTAACGGTCTTCAATCAACTAAGACATGAGCTTAATGCGCCAAGCTCACTCCTCGAACCCTGTATAATGACCTTCTAAAAGTACTTTATTTAAATTGAATTTAAAAAACGTAATTCAATCTTGAAAATTATGTATGCCTTTTGAACACGTGGAAGTGTCGACCAACACCGAGCTAAAAGTGAGAAAAAAAGTAGAAACCTATCCAATATTTTAGAAATTGGTCAAAAAAAACTCGAACCTATACTTAATGATCGAGAAAGTGGCGAACAAAATTATTAAGTGTCTTGAAGCACCATATCCAAACGTACTTTTTCAAAATGTGGTGCAAATAAAAGTTTACTTTTTATTTTTGTTGAATTTTTTTTTTTTTTCAAATAGTATCAACTTTTTTTTTTTTAGCTCATACTCCCATTATTTTGGTGTACAATTTTCTTTTAAAATTAATTAATTAAATTTACATTTCAAAAAGATATTAAAATTGCATGATATTAATATTGCTACTTAAATGATGACGTGGAATATTGGTTGGACTAACGAGTAATATTCTTTTACAAGATGTGGTACAACAAATATCTGTATAATTTATAAAAGGGAAAAAATATAAAGTTACCATAATACTTTTAGTAAAAACTTTTTTTTATTCTAATTTTTTTTTACCCGAAAAGGAAATGCTAAACTTTTTATACTTAAAAAAAGGCTTTTCAATATTTCAGGATCACAGATATGATGAAAATTGTGATACTAAGTAAAAATGAACTATATCCAAATGAGAGTGATTTTAAAGATACGACCTATACCAATAAGGTGCACATTCCTTTTTGGTAGTTTAATCATAAAAAATAAATAATTAAGCATGTTTTACTTGAAACAATTTTATGTTGGGTGATCTCTTAGAAATTTTTCTAAAATGCACGAGTAAGGACAACATGCTAAAATGATTCGTGTTGGTCGATGACCTCTTATAAATTTTCTTGGAATGCATATGAGTAAGGATAACATGCTAAAATGACTCGGGTTCTGTGTGGATAGTCTTCATTCTTAAAAAAAAAAAAAAAACATGCTAGAATGACTTGTGTTAGTCTGTGGGAATAGAATTTACGCTTAAAAAGAAAGGAGTAGGTAACACAATCATGTCCGAATTCTGAACATGGAGCGTGACAAAAAACTACCGTTTATAACTCCAAATATGAGCTGAAAAGGGCTCTTTGATTCTCTACAAGCTTCTCCCAAAACACAATTGCTACGAAAATGAAGTTCAATCCTTTTATATTATATATATATATTCTCATTAAACCTATGATTGAATTAAATTCATATTCTGTCACATTTAATTCAAGCTATTAAATAAGAGTAACAGGTAATGAATAATAAAAACAAAAAAAGGTTTTAATAAATTAAATAAAAAAAAAAAAAACAAAGAGAGTTTTTTTTTTTGTTTTTTTTTAACCACATCACATGAATTGACATAATTAAATTAAATAAAATTTATGGGTG